CCCCAAAACCCCAAAACCCCAAAACCCCAAAACCCCTCTTTAATAGTTAATTATAGAACTCAACTAGAGGAATGATTTTGCTTAGAAGTTGCCATCAGAGTCATCCTCTTCCCCATCCTCATCATCATCTTCATCAGACTCGATATTAATAGGCTCTCCGTCATCATCTTCGCCAATAGCATCACTATCATCTTCTTCATCGTCTTCATCATCATCGTCATCGTCGCCCTCAATGTTTCCAATAACGTTGTTGCCTTTATTGAACCCAGTTCTGGTAGAACCCATTTCATCTTTGATGATGCCATCCTCATTGCCTTCATTGAAGGTCTTGTATTCTTCGACCTTATATTTCTCTTGGATCTTCTTGAGAGCCTTTTGGTTTTCTTTCTTCTTCTCTATCTCCTTCCTGTTGTATTCATCAAGTTGATGCTCCAGGTAGTCCAAATTTCTAAATTTCTCAATGTATTGATTGTAATATTGGCTAATCTCCTGTTCAAGTTTTTCGTATTCATCCATGAATTCAGGTCTGACTTGTTCGATTCCTTTCAAGCGTTTGTCAGTTCTATCTAACTCGGCAGCTCTACGTTGGATCTTGTTCTCAAGTTCCTTCTCGTCTTGTTTGAGATTAGCAATCATTTCATTCATCTGATCCATCTGATGACTCTGACCTCCGACCAAGTCTCTAATGCATTTCTCGATATACTCTTGCTCAGTATTTGATCCAAGATTTCTAGAGATTGAGTCTAGAAAATCAAGAGCTTTCTCTCTTGATTCTCTAAGATCATTCTCTTTACCCAGAGAATCAAACAGCTTGGCTCCAGTCTCAGTGATTTCGTTAGCAAGAGACCTTGCTTGCTTGAGATTTCTGAGTTTAGAGTCCATGTTGAAGTCATTTGAAGAGACAAGCTCATCTTCATCTACAGCACTAGCGTTCATTGCTTTATTAAGCATGGTTGCTACCTTGAGTAACTCCTTTACAGCGTACCCATTTGCTTCATAAAGCTTCTTTGGGTTGAGCTTTATCCGTGCTTTAGTGAGAAATAGTTGGCAGATGGATTTAATAAACAGAACTCTGTCCCTCTCTTCGTTGATATTATCTGAAATATCGCTTGATGGGTCATATCTCTCTGCAAACCAGAGAGAAATGTCTGCTACAAGCTCAAAATTTGGTAGTCGGAAGTTCTCAACAGAGATAGGTCTGGAATACCCCAGAGCCCTCATAATCTCACAAAAATTCCTTAAGTCACGATAAGACATTTGAATTTTATAATTTTTTCAAAAAATGTGATATTTGAGGGGTTTTGGGGTTTTGGGGTTTTGGGGGTTTGGGG